GCCTCGTAGTCGTCCTGGTCGACGCTGACCAGCAGCCGCACGTCCTCGCGGCCCACGGCGCGCCGCAGCCCCTCGGTCAGGAACACGCCCTTGAGCGCCTCCAGCAGCGCCCCGCTCAGGTAATCGCCCCAGAACGCCTCCAGGTACGACAGCTCCGAGAATTTGATGTCGCACAGGATGGAGCCCAAATCCCGGGATTTCAGCACCCCGCTGGCCTGGCCGAAAACGTCCAGAGCGCGGCCGGGCCCGCGCGGGCGGCTGGAGGCGACGCCGCGGCGCAGAGCGCGCTCGTGCTCGCAGTACTCGGCGCGGACCCGCAGCCGGATGTCTGGGGAGGGGAAAACACCGGTTAGAACCAGTACAGACCAGTACAGACCAGTATAAACCAGTATAGACCGGTATAAACCAGTTACAGCAGGTATAACCCAGTATAGAGCTGTATGGACCAGTATAACCCAGTATAACCCAGTACAGCAGTTCTCGGCGCGGACCCGCAGCCGGATGTCTGCGGAGGGGAAAACACCGGTTAGAACCAGTACAGACCAGTATAAACCAGTATAGAATGGTATAAACCAGTATGGAATGATATAACCCAGTATAACCCAGTATAAGCCAGTATAACCCAGTTAGAGCGCGCTCGTGCTCGCAGTACTCGGCGCGGACCCGCAGCCGGATGTCTGGGGAGGGGAAAACACCGGTTAGAACCAGTACAGACCAGTATAAACCAGTATAAACCAGTATAGACAGGTATAAACCAGTATGGAATGATATAACCCAGTATAACCCAGTATAACCCAGTTAGAGCGCGCTCGTGCTCGCAGTACTCGGCGCGGACCCGCAGCCGGATGTCTGGGGAGGGGAAAACACCGGTTAGAACCAGTTAGAACCAGTACAAACCAGTATAAACCAGTACAGACCGGTATAAACCAGTATAGACCGGTATAAACCAGTATAACCCAGTATAGCCCAGTATAACCCAGTATAACCCAGTACAGCAGTTCTCGGCGCGGACCTGCAGCCGGATGTCTGGGGAGGGGAAAACACCGGTTAGAACCAGTAAGAACCAGTACAAACCAGTTAGAACCAGTACAGACCAGTATAAACCAGTATAGAGTGGTATAACCCAGTATAACCCAGTATAACCCAGTATAACCCAGTACAGCAGTTCTCGGCGCGGACCCGCAGCCGGATGTCTGGGGAGGGGAAAACACTGGTTAGAACCAGTACAGACCAGTATAAACCAGTATAAACCAGTATAGAGTGGTATAACCCAGTATAACCCAGTATAACCCAGTATAACCCAGTTAGAGCGCGCTCCTGCTCGCAGTACTCGGCGCAGACGCGCAGCCGGATGTCTGGGGAGGGGAACGGACCAGTTAGAACCAGCATAGACCAGTACAGACCAGTTAGAACCAGTATAGACCGGTTAGAACCAGTATAAACCGGTATAAACCAGTATAGAGCGATATAGATCAGTATGGACCAGTATGGACCAGTATAACCCAGTATAACCCAGTACAGCACCGCGGATGCCTGGGAACCAGAACGGACCAGTTAGAACCCGTACAAACCAGTACAAACCAGTATAAACCAGTATAAGCTGGTATAAACCAGTATAAACCGGTATAAACTCGTATGGACCAGTATAACCCAGTATAACCCAGTTAGAGCCCACAGTACTCAGCCCCCACATCTACGGGGATTCCCAGTGCTCCCAGTATCCCGTACTGGGATTCCCAGTGCTCCCAGTATCCCGTACTGGGATTCCCAGTGCTCCCAGTATCCCGTACTGGGATTCCCAGAGCTCCCAGTATCCTGTACTGGGATTCCCAGTGCTCCCAGTATCCCCAGTTCCCGGCAGCTCCCAGTGACTCAGTTTCCCCACAAGCCCTGCAATCACCAGTTTGCCCAGTTTGCCCAGTTTGCCCAGTTTGCCCAGTTCCTGCACTGGACTGAGTGTCCCAGTGCTCCCAGTGCCAGACTGGTTTGTCCCCAGTCTGTCCCTCCCAGTCCTGTCCCAGTCCGTCCCAGTTTGTCCCAGTCCGTCCCAGTCCTGTCCCAGTCTGTCCCAGTCTGTCCCAGATTGTCCCAGTCCTGTCCCAGTCCGTCCCAGTTTGTCCCAGTCCGTCCCAGTCCCTCCCAGTCCGTCCCAGTTTGTCCCAGTCCGTCCCAGTTTATCCCAGTCCATCCCAGTTTATCCCAGTCCATCCCAGTTTGTCCCAGTCCCTCCCAGTCCATCCCAGTTTGTCCCAGTTTGTCCCAGTCCCTCCCAGTCCGTCCCAGTTCTGTCCCAGTCCCTCCCAGTCCGTCCCAGTTTGTCCCAGTCCCTCCCAGTCCCTCCCAGTCCGTCCCAGTTTGTCCCAGTCCGTACCACAGGTGACCTTGGCCGGGGGCTCGGGCGGCTCCGGGGGGGTCTCTCTGTGGGGGAGGGGTCGCCGCGTCCGTCGGGAATTTCGGGAATTTCGGGAATTTCGGGAGCTGCGTTTCCGCTTCCCGGAACCGGAACCGGAACTGGAACTGGAGCCTGGGGGGACACCGGAGTGACCCTGAGTGACCCTGAGTGACCCCTGAGTGACCCTGAGTGACCCTGAGTGACCCCTGAGTGACCCCTGAGTGACCCTGAGTGACCCCTGAGTGACCCCTGAGTGGCCCCAAAGCCCCCAAAGTGACCCCAAAGTGACCCCAGAGTG